TTTCAAGGACACTAGTACTCTCGATCAGCCGCCCAGCTCCACAAACTCCATCCTCCCGATACTCCTCCTCCAACGATCTGTATCTCCAAACTACGCTATAAGGGTCACGCCATACCAGAACTGCACGACCGTTGGTATCTGCCTCTCTACATCCCTCATGGTGGTGTATTTCGGCAGCTTGATGTGCTCCGCATGAACATCGAGTTGGGAGCTGTACGTTGGGCGAGAGGTGAGTACGACATTCTGTCATTAAATTCCACATGTCAACATTGTTGCAGTCATTTCCCTACGATACCCCAAGAGTTCGGTTTTCATTCCCGTCATGGACTGCGCGCGCCATTTTAATTCTTATACAATACTCGAAGTCAACCACAGGGTACGCAGAATACCCTCACGCCACATTCCGCCATTGATCTTTATATTTGTTCTAGTCACACCACAACTTTGAAAAAATACTTGGCCGTTACCTTTACCTCCGTGAAATGCAACATTGGACTCTGCTGCTCTAAAGTCGTCGCGTTAGTGTAGGCATTGGAGATGTTAGCTGGGACCGCGCCAGCGACGGCTATGACAGATTGAGGTGGGGTGCAATGTGCAAGCTACCAGTGCCAAAGGAAACGTACATTCCGGGTGGGCAATTCCCGTTAGATAAAGGAAACTACATTTTGTCAGTATTGACACTGACACACGACGACAAAGGTAAGATCCCGAGCCAATGTCAACGCTTGTGTCATTAGCACCCTGTACCAATCCAAGGAGAGGGAAACCGATCTCATCCGAGTCCTACGAAAAAGGCAAATCCATATCAACATCCACTTGAAACAGGAAAGACGGAAGAGGCTACCTCCATGGTGATACGGACTTGTGAAGCTGAGATCGAGGATTCCTGGATGACGAAAGTAACGGTGGTGGCGTTGTCGATGGCCGGCTCACACTGGAGCTGGGCTTTGCTAAGAGAATTCTTGGAAATATAACCGAGACTGTCTCCTGTGCTGTTTTTGACCTCGATAACTCCGCGTTTGGTTATGGTCTTTACGGCTTGAATGGCGGGGACAGAGGAAGGCGTCGAGCGGCGGTCGATATCTAGGAAGAGGACGGTGAGTCGTAGTACTGACTTGTCATAAAAAAAGAGAGGATACGCACAAACTAAAGTGACCGAACTCGGACTTGTTCTGCATTCGAAGAGCAAATTAAAAAATGTAGGCGCTTGCTTTCGTCGCTTCGCTGTGCGATGAGGCAGCTGAGCAATTGTCTGGCGCCGCAATGACCTGCGATCCAAACAAAAGTAAACACGTGTTTCCTCCACCACGCCGGGGAAAATTTGAAAATGACGCTGTTTCGTCTGCAGAGAGGCATGACTGAAAAGCCGTGAAAGAAAGTAGATCGCTTTCTGGTCCCGCTCTTATGCGAAGCCCCCAAGTCTCTCGTGTTCTCGTCCTTTGTCGCATCCGGATAGCTCGAAGACCTGCTGACCGGGCCCATTCAAGTTGATGCTGAAATAGTTTTCACATTCTATGGCGCCGATTTTTCATTACTGGGGCGTACACAAAAGAGATGCGCTACTGACCCTCCGTAACTCATAGGTGATGCCGTGAGAATCTTGATACCAGGCATGCTGTCAATGTTGAGCCCCCTAGTCAACATCGGCTCCTCATCCTCCACTGCGCCTGCGATCTCCCTCTCCCCACAACCCCCAAACCGCGTTGACCACCCTACACCCGTTCAACGTTCGCAAATTCAACACAATCGTCTCCACGCGTCAGTTTTTCGGTCCTTCGAGCGTTCAACATGTTCCTTGCGAGAGCGGATCTTCGATCTGGGAATAAACGTCGACTTTGTTCAGATTGACGATGCGTTGGTATGGGGAAGGGGAAGAATGACGATACGCCGTATGCATCTGAGCTGCGTATCGTGGTGTCAAGGTCCTGGTGACAATATGCTACGTGATGTTGCTCATACGTGGTAGGTTTCAGAATCTGAAGGGGGTTAAAATAGCTATGTCAGGCCAAAGACGGTGGTGTGCATGAGCGTCACGGAGATGATCTAGGCTTTCGAGAGGTCGATTTGAGGGGAGCAAGTGAGCTGGATGGGATGCGCCACAGTTTTGCCAGACAACTTGTGAATGCTCAGCTTGGATTCGGTCGGGGGTGACTTCGGTTCACAAATGTACTATGACGTCTGACCTGATTGAAACAAGATGAGGTCAGGGCTACAACAAAAGGAGCTATTGATGAACGTTACCCACCTTCAAATTGAGATTCGTGTCTGTACGCAAACAAACCCCTTAACACCCCTTCACTGTATGAACTCATTTTTTCTTGTAGTGGACCATCGACCTCACTACAGGCAACCTCAACCCTCAATGGATCAACTCCAACGGCTGTAAGCTCGGTGCTCACCCTCACATCTTGCAAGCACTTAACGTTTCTCCATTGAAAGAGTGTATGATGGGTTCCTCAGCTGACATCGCATCAGCAACGACCCTCCGTGACGTTGAACTCAATTCGTTTGCAATCGCCAACACCGCTCTCATGATTTTGAGGAGGAATGGCGAGGACGAACGAGCAGAATTTTGGGCAAGTCCATTGTGACGGGGCAGGTGCATTCCGTGGATTTGAAACGCGAATATGCGATCGAGGAGCGAAGTGTATGCGGCGTTTGTTGAGCTGGGCGTGATGGGGGAGTGGTGCCATTGGCCGGAAGGCCAACGTGAGGCATGCTCGAGTGTTCAACGCCGGAGTTGATGGAGAGGTGGTGGATAGACGGACGAAAAGAGCGAGAGAACGACCAACGGCGGAGTTGGCAGCATGCGGCGTCGGTTGACGTTCTCGTCTGAAAGTTGTTAATTCCGCCGTTGAAGTGGATGTTGGAATAACACCTGGTATATGGTCAAGTATTCCATGCATCTCGAGGACTTTGTAGCCTATAGATCGAGATTGATGGATTAATAAGTCCGAGAACATCACCGAACAATTCACACGTATCTAGTAATTAGTAGTATATTCTAGTAGTTACATTTTGTAGTATATAAGGGT